GTCTGCAAGAGGCTTTTGTTGCTTGAAGACAAAGTTGATTTATTCATGTGTATTGAGTAGGCTGCCAGATAAGCTGCATTCATTGTCAACTTCTCCGAGCATGTCAACTATTATTGTCCGGGGGACTGTTGTTTTTGTTGTATATCAAATTCCTTGACTACAGGGGATGGATATATTTGCTTGCTACTAAATTATTGTAGACCGCATGATGTCCTATCCTGGGTCATGCTTCTGTATATGCCTACAGGGAATATAGGCAGGTTCACTGCATTCATCTACTTATATGTTGATCCTAACCGCAGGGAGTTGTATGCATGAGAAGTCTCATTTTTTTTCCACACAAGAGTTTACGTTCTTCTTTGTAACTAGCTGAATATCACTTTGTGAGCGAGCTGTATTTATCATAATTTTCTGGCCTGTACTTATAGTGAGCAGCTGTCACTGTTGTCTACAAGCGAATCAGATATTTTCCTACCAAAATACTTGGCATTGATGGCAAAAGTCATATTTTCACCGACCCCCTCACTCAGTGTGTAGCATGTCGCATTCCTTGTATGTTGTTCATTATTCATTTGCAGGGTTTAATGTGCTTGCTTGTAAAGTTAACTCATAGAGAGGTTGTTATATCTCTATACTTTATTTATAAGTGCATCATTGCACTACTCATGCATAGTCCATTATGTGTATTTTTATGGCTGCTTGCATGATTGCTGTGAGTGCCACTATTTTTGGATATGGCTTGAAATGCTTGTTAGGATATTCTCATGTATCTGCTTGAATTAGGTCGCCCATCCTTATTAATCATCATTGATCATTGCATGTTGACCCCTCTGCTGTAGGGAATTGTTGCGCTTGCTTGAAGTTGGATTGTTGTTGATGATGTAGATATTACTACATTTCATTATATGCTCTTCCTATTGCTTTCTTGTGACATCTCATGTTGTATATTCACTTGTTTATGTTTGCAAAAGTTCATTGTGTTTGGCTGATAATCACCATCATTAATTGCAAGGATGACTCAGCATCTACTGCATTGTTCATGTCACCCGCAGGTAGACTACCATACACATGATGATCTTCTACATAACTTTTGGATGCTTGCATTCATTGTTTGCTGCATTATGTGTGTATGCAATAAAAATCATCGCATATGAGTTGGTTGTATTATACATACTAATGTGACAACCGAGTGAGTTGCATTCACATTGATTTCCCCACGCATATTGTTGGCAGGTTTCTATATTTGCTTTTATGCTGGCTGTTGTTGTCCACAGAGAACTACTATATTCATCCTTAAATGGTTGAGGATATTGTAGTATTCACTGCATATCCCTCGAGTTCATTTATAGTTTGGGCGAGTGTATTGCATCATCGTTTTGTATATATTTCAGTGTTTGTTCACGAAGCACCCACAAGTCTCCGTATAGTTGTTGTGGATGAATTGCTGTGTGTGGTTTGCAGCAGTGACTCTCTGTGGGGAAGTTGTCGTTGTCGTTTTACAAGTTCTTTACTCACACTGTTTTTATGAGGAATTAGAACATTCATCAGACCTTTTTCCAGTGCATTGATCCATCGTGTATTTATGTAGTTACTTGTATGTGACTCATCATATTCATTACATATTCTCTTGCATCATGAACAAGCCACCCCATTACGAATTCATTTATTTATGCTTATAGAAGATCAATCATGTTCACTAGATGCTCCTTCCTTATGTGTTTAGGAAGGTTATTTTCATGATAACCTTCCTCCTTTCTTTATGGATGTGCCTCACTCTTCACATATGTGATCATTGGTAGGTTGCTATGTTCACTGCAAGTCCTTCGTGTCTTATTCATGAATAAGCCAGCCATCCAACTATTTTTATTCATTTGTGAGCATGATTGAGGTAGGTTGAAGATGAATTGTATCCATTGTTGATTTGATTAAATATTCTGAGTTGCTTTAGTTTCACTGTTTATTATTTGCGTGCAACAAAGGTTTATTCACCATGAATCCCTTATTTGTTTGCTGATATTCATTTGATTGTTCAAAATTATCAATTTTAAAGTCTAGTTCCATGTTGTCCTTTTGAGTTCAAGTCTTCTGAATTTTCTTCAAGTCCCCTATTATTCATTTTATGTTCAAATTAGGTCCCTTGTCACTTTGAATTTCGACATCCTGGCGTCTTCCTTATTTAGGAAAAATTCTAAAAATCTTAGCCTGCTCATCACATCAAGAAACACGTGCGTGGTCGGTGTTGGGTGACACCGCAACCGTAGTCTTCAATCTAGTGAGCTTTGAAAATTCGAGCCCCGGCCTCCTTCCTCCCTGCGCCCTTTGCTTTCTTTTTGCTTTCTTGAGGAGTTTTAACAGATTAAGTTTCGAGAGAAATTTTAGGAAGGCAAATTGGGATTGTAGATTAGACACTACCCAAAGATTTTGCCCTCATTTTGCGAGAACTTTATGATATGAGTTTTGGTTCCTATAGTCGCAAGCCCCTATAGTTAATTACCTCTCCCGATCATGAGAGAGAACTTTCGATTAAGGCTAGTCGTCGGCGAATACATTGTATCCATAGATACGCGGTATCTGGCATATAGTACCAGCATTGTTTAGGTTGTTTTGAAGTTTTATATTTAAAATTAGAGAATTTCACCATCTTGCACTTAAGGGGGATGGTGGGGTGAGTGATTATGAGCCCGATCAAGATCCCATGATTTTGTCATCTCGGGTTTTTGTGGTTCTTGATCTACTTAGTCAGAGGAGGTAGTCGACCTAACTTGATAGAAAGATCCATGTCAGCTGCCATGGGTTGCGTCGTCCAAGGGTACCTTGTAGATTTTGGGTGGATTAAGGGAACAAATTTGAATTCATCTTAGCTAACAGAGGGCTTTGTGTCCTATCGATTATATCCACTGGGCTAGGCCCCGTGGTTTTTCCCCCTTTTTAGGGGTTTTCCACGTAAAAATCCTGGTGTCTCTTGTGAATGTCGCACCATCTCTTTCATCTGTTTGTGTGCCGGATTTTCGTACAAAGTTAAGACGTTAAACTTTATATTTCTCTACCGCCGTGAATACTCCAGGATGCAACAATTATATATATATATTGAATTTGAGGTTTTTTTTTATGTCAAAATCTCCACAGCCTCTACCCGCAAATCTAAACCCCAGGAATCCCGGCTGCCTTTGCAAATTCAGTGCTTAATCACATTAAATAAAAAATGCTAACACTCAAACCGTCTTCTCCTTCTCCCGGCTATTTCCCACTCTCGCCCGAGCTCATCGTACCCACGCTCTATGTGAACCCTTGCTTGGCTTCTGTTTGTTTAGTTATAAAAATAATTCAAACTAAGCCCATCTGCACTTTCCATTGCCCCAGGATTTCTTCTATTCTTCCACGTTTCATCCCCATCTCTCTACTCTAAACCTCTCTCCAGCAAACTCCTCCCAATTTCCACACAACATCTGGCTGTTCAATTCCACTAACTCCCTTCCGAACACCCCAAAGCAGTATGTAATTTCTCACCCATATCTAAAATACCACCTGTCACCTTCTCCAATCCTCTGTTTTCCCCACCACTCCCACTACAGTTCATTTTATATTTCTATAAAAACTCCCACATCAAGATACTAGGCAGTAATATTTGTCTCCTAGGCTTTCTCTCGCATTCTCTCTCTCTCCTATAACACACGATCTCTTGCTGCCGAGCCACCTCACTGCCAAACACATTGATGAAGTGTTGAAGAACACAGATTTTCCTTATCTTAGGAAACTGAAGATAGCAGGTCACAATATCTTGGAGGCATTCAGGTAGATGTGGTGACAATGCTTATTGTGAAGAGTACTCTCCTGTATGCCAAAAATGCTACCAATAAAATTTGTTTGAGGATAATAGTTGGTGAGAGAGTTAAGGATATTTCGTCAAGTCTTTGTTTACAGCTATAGAAACCCAAGCTACTTCTGTGCATTGTTCACAAAGGAGCTATTTACATTGCCTGAGATGTTTTTATATCTCACAAGACGACCACTTTCGGGTGGTTTTCTTGTCCATAAAGAGAAAAAATTTATTGTGAGAAATTTATTTTCTTGAATGCATCATATAAATTGTCTCTTTATATGCTAGCTCTTCATTGCTTGATTTATCATGAAGGAGGCACTTTTGATGAGCTATCATTTTATTGTCTTTCCATGCAGCTCACCTCTTGGCTATCGGTCACGTTCATGCCAAACCCACTTTCCTTTTGACTAAATTTGAGCAACATTATATTTTTGGACTACAATGATCATATACGAATGATTGGGAGATTATTTTGAAATTTAACCTGCAAAAAATATATTGAACATCATTATGATGATGGCATGCATTTTTTTTGTTTTGAAATTGATGATGGCAAGCAATTTGATTAGAATAAAATGCCTATTTCTATTTCTCAAAAAGCATTACTTTTGTTGTATTGGACTAATTCTAAAAAGCCATAGCATCGCCTCTAAGCTTTTCTTAAGTTGCATTGTGATCTTCTGAAAAAGTTTAAAACATAATATTTCTATAGGTTGAACTTACTTCTGGGAAGGACCTTGCTGATATTAAACCAAATTTTGTTGAGCTAGCTAGATGTGTTGGAAGGGGTGTCATTATGACAGCTCCTGCTCCTCCTGGTACTGGATTTGATTTCTTTACGCGCTTCTTCTGTCCAAAGATGGGAGTTAATGAGGTAACAAAGTTTATAAGGTTTTGCAAAGTTTTTTATGGTTGAATGATTGTATTATTAGTTTCCTTTGTTTTAACTCGCAAAAACTTTGTTCATTTTGTGTCAATTCAGTTAAACTTATTTTTTTTCCCCAATCTTTAGCATTTAATATTTAGTCTGTAACTATAATTCTGCCTGTCCAATTTATCAGCATTTCATTAGCCCTCTGTTTTATATGGCCAAACTATTTAAGTTTGTCTTCTATAAACCAATCTTTACCATTTCTATATTCTTTTAAATGTAATATTTTTCACATTTTTCTAATTTGCTTTAACACATTCTCTGGGTGCAGATTTGGTAACTATCATCACCCTGTTTTTAGTGACAATTAATAGAAGCTGATACTTTCTAATAATTTCATTACTTGACAATATACTCTGATATGTTGTTTTAGTAATCATTAATTTAAGCTAAATACGTTCTAATATGATCAATTTACAAGGATCCTGTCTGCGGGAGTGCACACTGCGCATTAGCACCCTACTGGAGTAGGAAGTTGGGGAAGAACAATCTTATCGCTTATCAGGTACTTTTTGTTCTAAGAAAACCTCTTAATCCTAATCTGTACCACTATAGTAATAGAAGCAAAGGAAGCTCTCATTAGTAGTCTTGGCGTTGGGCTCGTAGTAACATTTTTTTTTGTTAAATATGTGAACATTAGTTCCTTTGATAAGTCTTTTTTTGCTGTGCAATGAGTTCCTGGGTGGTTGGAGCACACTCTGTAGGCATCAGTTGCCTCCATCCACCTTAGGGCCTTCTACAAACTCTTTGTGTTCAACTGTTTCCAACTCCACCTTACCTAGAGGAAGTCTTAGCTAGCAAATCTCATCTTCCCTAGCAAGTTTAACTGTTCTCAACTCCACCTTTTCCTTCAGTGCTAAGTTGTTGAGTCCAATTTTTTCCATGCATAAAAAAGCATGCTATACAGGCTGAGTCGTAGGTTGGCCTTCGTGGTAAGGTCACTACACGTGTTGGAAGAGTGTCGGAGCCCCTAAAAGGTTTTCATTATCTGTGATTATTTCATTAAAGATGTTTTGAAAATTTTTATTTAGGGTTTAGGGTCTTAATTTTTTTCTTCATAAAGAGTTTTTTGTGTGTTAGTCTTTTTATTTGGCTATTTGTGTTTGAATAGAGTTCATTTATTGGCCACTTTTGGTGACCATAGGAGGTATGCTTCTACAGCAGCAGCAGTAGGGGTGTAAGTGAGCTGAGCCGGCTCGAGCTCGACTCGTTTATGGTTTCACGAGCCGAGCTTATCGAGCTCAAACCCGAGCTTGTTTAGTAAACGAGCTCGAGTTCGAGCTTGAGCCGGCTCGGCTCGTGAGCTCGCGAGCTGGCTCGAATAGTAAAAAATAATTTTATTTTATTTATTAAATTGAAATATTTAAAAAAATGAATAAGAACTATTTAAGTTTTATTTAAATGTTAAATATTGCATATTTTTTCTAAATCTCGTTTATGTTTTAAAAATCTAACCTAAGTTTCAAAAATCCATCCTAAATTTTAAAAATCCCACCCATGGCTCGTGAGCTGGCTCGAGCTCGTTTACAGTGGGACGAGCTTGAGCTCGCTTTCCGAGCTCGATAAGGCCTAAACTCGATTTGACTCGACTCATTTAAACCCCTAAGCAGCAGGGTTCATTGCCCTGAAAAATAAAATGCCCCTAGCTAGTTGCCATCGAGATTATTGGCAAAGCCATATTCCAAATATTGACGTAAAAACAACTAGACAAAACTCTTAACGTTTCATATTTGTGTTTTTGAGCCAGGCTTCTCCAAGGAGTGGAATACTTGATCTACAAGTGGATGAAGAGAGAAGTCGAGTTCTGATTCGAGGAGAAGCTGTGACTGTTATGGAGGGCTTTCTAATGGTCTAATGTCCATTTTGGAGCTTGTCAGCAGTTTTTATTGATAAATTCAGAACTAAATAACATGAACCAATTCATTTTGGAACAAGTTATTACAACATTGGTTAAGGTTTCGTTTGAGATAGTTTTCTTATTGTATTCTAAAGTTATTTTCTAGTACAAAAAATTTAGTATTAGAAAGCAAATAGGAAGCTATCCCAAATGAAGCCTAAAGCTTGAAATAAATAAACTATCACTTACACTGCAGGATTTTAATATTCCCCAATTATTATGATAATTGCATAGTGCAATTAGCTTATCCAGTCATTTAATTTATTTTGTGTGAGTTAGGTTGATCTTATCATTTTTTATTCAATTTTTTTTTTTTTTTTGGTCGTGTAATTTTTATTTTTGCAGTAACCAAGTACTAATTCCCACATTTCAACTTTTTGCTTCTATTTTTTCAATGTTTTGCACAACTCTTGCAATATATGATTGGGATAGTTGAAAAATCAAATTTATCTATAGGTGCTTTGACCTGAATAATCTCATGAGGTCTGTCATTGCTCTGTTTTTTATCTTTGTAGTTATAATTTGGCCATCACAGTTTTTTTTTTTTTTTTTTTTTCATGTGACCAAATTGGTTCTATTGAATATGCAACAATACTTAGATGTGTATTTTCTATAAATAATTGATCCATCAGAGTAGTCAGCAAAGGAACTACAACATTCAGGGTTTGTTTGGAATGATTTTTTTATTGTTTTTTAAAATAGCTTTTTAAAAAGCTGCTTTAAGAAACAGTAAGAAAGTAGTCCCAAATGAAGCCTAAGATGTTCATTCTTGATGTAAAGCAATTATTTCCCTAAAAATTTCTTTAATTATTTAAGGAAACTACTAATTATTTTCTAATATTCTTAAGAGTTTGCATGTGTGACTTTATAATCCTGACAAAGGAATACTGAGCTTGATTAAGATAAGGTAGATCAATATACCAAATAATGGGAAAAACCCTTAAAAAGCTTTTCTTCATTCAATACGAGTGTTAGTGTATTTGGCTATTTGCAAGCTAAAAGATAACCCCTCTAGGAAATAAAAATTATATTTTTGTTTTGTTTTTGAAGAAATTGCAAATTGTATTAAAAGAAAAGTTATTATAAACTATTAAGTGACATAAATTTTGTTGCATTCCTCCTTTAACAAAGAAAGCAAATAAGGAGAAAAAATATTATCTAATAAATTTTTCCTAACAAAATTACCAAACATAGCATAATTGGCACATAAATGAGCCACATTATTACCTTCTCTACAAGTATAAAGAAAAATGACTCTATTAAACTCATTAAGAAAAGAAAAATCATGCTTGACATTAAGAAAATAAATGAAAACTATATTTTAGTTTGGATGGTAAAAATGTCATTTTTGCTATAAGCAAATTCAAAATACAATATTTACAATGAGCCAAAACATAGGTCAAGAAAATATTTTTGAAGGCACTTATTATAAAAACACACATTGAATGTTCATTCATATAAATAAATTTTAATAATATAACAAAATATGAAGGTTTTGCTAACATGCATTTGAAATTATTATCAAACATTATTGATGATAGTAAATAATGTAAATAAGATGGATTTGATTGTTGTGGTTATGAGAAGTATAAAAATCATCAATCTCATAAATTTGGATAAATTCCTTGGCAACCAATTGATAGTGTATTGTTGCCTAAAAACTGATTAAGAACATTCATATGAAAATATTAGAGTATGAACAACTTCATACATATAATAATGCTTGAGTTTATCAATCACTATAAGAGATTTATCAATGTAAAAAAATATTAATCATAGTAAAGCAAATAAAAAATTTATGAAAGTGTGAAATGTAGAAAAAACCTTATGCCTTCATTTCTAATAATATATTAGAATTGCATAATAATGATCATCAATGAAGGTAACAAAAATACCTAAAATTTAAATAGTGAAGAATAAGATTATGGCAATTTATTGGGTCCGGTGTCCTGATGTAGCTCTACATCAGGACACCAGTTATCTGGCACCATGTAGCAGCCCGATAACCTGACGCAAACCCATTTGATTTTGGAGATTATGCACGTGTTTTATACTATTTCGAGTCGGCCCGAGGGAGACGTATATTAATTGAGCCCGAAAAGTTAAAATCATGCGCCTTGTTTACAAGTTTAATAACCATTTGGCCTATTATTCTGAAGACGTTATATAGTTTTTAGGGTTTATATACCACTGAGAAAGATTTCTTGAAGGGTTCGAGGAGACGGAAGATACGAAAATGGATTTCTTTTTGGAAGACTTCGAAGATTTCGAGAAAACTGTAGGGACGTGTAATGTTGATGAAGATTTTTTCTGATTTATTGCAAGTAATTTCTTATCTATGAAGAGGTTTTAGAATTTAAGATGCACTTATTTTTTACTGCTTCATTATGGATATATCTTGATATCGACGTATATGACGTCTAATAACATCCTAACCGAGCAATACCTCGATTATCTGCTACCCTATACTGAGCTTATTCATGAATAACGATTTGTGTATTGAGATTAACATTTCCACACAACTCGGTATAGATCGGTACTTTTAGGTATTGCTCGGTATGAACTCGTTGCACAGAAGTACCGAGTAAATCAAACATCTTTGTACGTAGTACTGATCTTAGTAGAGAGAATATCAAACATATCAACTTATTGGTACTGCTCGGTACTGATAGGTATCACTTGGTATAAACTCATTGTACCCTATACCGAGTAAATCCAAGATCATACTTCCTAGTACCAATCATTGTACTTGCTCTGTATAAACTCGATATTGATTTGTAAATGTAATGGTAAAATGACAGGATGAATTTATAAGAACGTGAATTTTTTTTAACAGGGTGTTTACAACTCTAAGAAGGAAGCATATGATAAATATTGTCATTACGTGCATTCTCATGGATTTAGTGTTCAGAAAGAGAATCACCCGTTCTAGCCAAATTCAAGAAAAATAAAATCAAAGGATTTTGTGTGTTCTAAAGCAGGATTCAAGAAGAAGATTGATAAGAATATAAAGGTTAAATATCAAAAATCATGCACAAGAACCGGATGTTCAACTATGATTAGATTTTTGATTAGTGAAGATGTGATTTGGATTGGGAATAAATCCATAGAGAGTCACAATCACGAATTGGCTAGAACGGATGATCAATATTTTCTCAGGTCATGTAGGAACATTAGTCATGAGAATGCATATGTTCTGAAATCTATGTCAGAAGTCGGGATAAGAACAATTAATGCATTTACATACCTATCCAATGAAGTGGGAGGTGTGGGTAATCTGGGGTTCACAAAGAGTGATGCATACAACTACATTCAAAAAGAAAAAAAAAGTCAATATTGAAAATGAGGATTCCAATTCACTAATCCAATTGTTTAAAGAATGGGTAGCTGCTTACAATATATTTGCATGGGATGTGCAAATTGATGAAGAGGATAAGTTATTGAATTTTTTTTGAGTTGATGGGTTGGGAAGAATTGATTATGACTGTTTTGGGGATGCGATTATTTTCGATACAAGCTATCGTCTAAACAAATATAATTTAGCATGTGCCCTTATTATTTAGTGAATAATCACTGGCAAAATATTCTATTAGGTGTGGCTTTTTTATCTGAGGAGACAATTGAGTCTTTTACCTAGCTATTTATAATATTTTTAAAATTTATGGATAGCAAACATCTCATAACTATATTTATCGATCAAGACCAAGCAATGGTTAGGGAAATAGAGATTGCATTATCTAATACACGGCATAGGTTGTGCCAATGGCATATGTACAAGAAGGCTCCTTCCAAAGTCTGGTGGTTTAATAGTAATAACAAAGTGAAATGCCTATTTTATTATCGTTTCAGCAAGTGTGATTTTGTGGAGGAGCTTGAGAGAAAGTAGAATGAAATGATCACAGAAGGCAACCTCCCGAGCCATCAATGGTTGAAAGATCTGTACAAAATCAGGGAGAAGTGGTTTACATCATTCAACAAAAATTATTTTAACATTGACATTTTATCTACACAACATAGTGATTCCACCAATCATGTATGCCATGGATTTTCCAAGCCAACAAGTACTATTACTAATTGTTTCCTTGGGTTGAAAAAGGTTATGAAGACTTGGCATAGGAATGAACAATATGAAGATTTTAGATATAGTTAAACGGATATACAACCTTATATGAAAAGTAGCTCAATATTAAAGTAAGTTGCCCAATTTTATTCGAGAAAGTTATACTCATTTTTTGAAGAGTTCTTACATGGACTATGTGAGAGCTCGTTCCTTTGTTTTTCACTTTTCTGGATCTGATTTTTTCCTCCCAGGATCGTCCAGGCCGATTTGGGATCGTCCTGGGACGATCAGTGCATGCCAATCAGGATGTTGATTGATGTCGCTTCAGTAGAATAGAAGTCTTATATTATTGTTGTGAACGTTCTGTGGTAATTTGGTAAGATTGTGATTTTAGGAATTTTTGTGTAAATTCCGTATATTGCCGTTATGCCGCTGGATTTTCGTACGATTTCCGATTTTCCGAAATTGATGATTTGAATTGATATGCATACGAATGTGATTATTTGATTATTGATACTCAATTCAAATCATCAATTTCGGAAAATCAGAAATCGTACGAAAATCCAGTGGCATAACGGCAGTATACGGAATTTACACAAAAATTCCTAAAATCACAATTTTACCAAATTATCATAGAACGTTCACAACAATAATATAAGACTTCTATTCTACTGAAGCAACATCAATCAGCAACCTGATATTTATCTATTCGATCAAAATCACACAGAACCCAAAATAACCGGTTGAATCATTACAGAAAATACTCAAAACGTGTAGAATAATCATATCAATAACATATCAAAAGTTGTGCGGTAAAAGTTTCGTCAATACAAAATGCGGCGCATTTATCGGTAACGAAAACATAAATCTGTGCCCAAAATGATCAAAACTCAACATCTTCGAAAACATAAACAGGATTCGGAGTCCTTACAGCGAGATAAACACTTTTCCCAACAGCGGCGTCGGACGAAAAGCGCTCCGCAGCCTCCGGAAACCAGCTTTTCCTTTGCTTTCCTTCTCTTTCTCTCTCCTCAGATATTTTTGATTTTATAAAAAGTTTTTCTCTCTCCTCAAATCGAGCTGATTTCCTTATAAAATCAGT